AATAAAAAATAATTTTAGAGAAGATATGTAATCTTTTTTTACATATTTATCTGATACTTGTTTAGATTATTGTTGTAATTGTATATTAGGCATTGGTTATGTACACTATTCAGTCTACAACTGGAACATGAACACATTCACAGACGTATTGTTTCTTTTTCTTTCTACTTATCAACTGCCACAGTGCCTTTGAAATCTTCATAAAGAATGTGTCTATTTAATAACCTTGCTTAAGATATGGCTTATCAAAGCTTTCTTGCTGATCATTTTGGAATCTTGATATGACAGATGCAAGGAGTTCTTCCCTTGATCTACCCTGACACTGGACTTGTCACATTTTGTTACTATAAACTGGCTAGGGAGTATTCACATTTCTACTGGCAACCTGATACTTTCTCTGACCCATGTCACAGCTGGGCCACCGAAGATGAAAATCTGCAGGAATACCCACGAGATGTCTGTGATAGCTCTTTCAGGATGGTCAGAACAAATGCAGAACTTCTTTTAGGACAATTCATGCTTTTTCTAAACACGCATGCCATGTAGAAATTTGCATCAAAATTGTTTGCATTGCGGTTGTAAGAGGAATTTCATTACTCCTGAGGAAAATCAAAATCTTGCTGCTGGTTTTCTCCTTTTTATGATTGCACTGGGAGCTGAGTATGTGTGCGAACGTGCTGGAGATTTGTGCCTTATTTTTGCATTACTCAAAGTTAGAGCGATCATGATTGATTTATGTCGTGTTATGTACATGGATGAGTAGGTTTATGTTTAAATGTTTTGTACATACATACACACGTGCATACATGTACAGAGTTTGGGGGTGTCTATAAGATTATGTGCTTTGGGGAAATGCTGGTAAAGATGTTAGAAAGAAAATATATTTGCAGGCATCCCTAAATCAGTGGGGAAAGTTCTCTTCCACGCATCTCTTTACATCAAGACTTCTGCCAATAGTCTTTTCGCTTCTAGAAAATACATACTTACCCAATTGTACTTTTTTCTAGATTTTTTTTTTATTTCCAAGGGCAAACATTCCAGTCAGTGATCCTGGAACACAGTAAAGTTGTCCATCTATGTCGGAAACTCTCAATCTTGTCTAAATGAATCCTAACTAAAAAATTAGATGTGGCCAGTAGCACATAGCTGAGGATAGTAGTTCCTCTTTTTCTTGAACAGATCTAAGTGCAATCCATTCCTGCCATTTCTCAGCCCTGTTGATGGGCCACCTTTTTATGGCGTCTGCTGAGGTCTCACCACTCTCACCTCTCCCTCCACGAGTGGCAGAGGTCTCGCCCTAGCCACAGGAAGTAGATCTTACCACGTTCCTGCTCAAACCCCTGTGTGACCTCTAATAACTCTTAGAGTCCAGCAAAGTCTCTCCTGCTCTCCTGACGTCACCTGCTGCAGTTTCCTCCACATCAGTCACACTCCCCTGACACACCCATCCCTTCCTGAGCCTAAAGCTTTCACCATGTGCTACCCTCTCTCTCTGGGACACCTTCTCCCATATCCCTCAGGACTGCCCTTTTAAAATACATCCAATTTCAGCTTCAGTGTGACCCCTTTATAGAGGACTTCTCAGACCATTCCATCTAGATTATTTATGTCTTTGTTTTTTCTTTTCATAGTGTTCTTTTTTTTTTCTTCACTCCTTTAGTGTTTCTTATTTATGTCCTCACTTCTCCCCTCAATAGAATGTAAACACTTTGGGTTAAAAAGATATAATCCCTTTTTCTCTATACTAAACCACTGGCCCAACGCCTTGTCAAAGTAGATAGGCAAGAAAAAAATGGCAAGCTATCCAATATGTGTAATCAGATGTCTACATTATCTGCTAGCATTCCTTCACTGTTATTCAGTAGTTAGTTTCTGCTTTGGACTCATATGCTCTGTGATCCTAGAAAAATCACATGACCTCTCTGGGCCTCAAATTCTTCATGTGTCAATTAAAGATATTGAACTTTAGTGAATGCCAAACTTGTAAAAAGTGTTATTCAGCAGAAGATCATGGCTCAGAAAGAAATATGTGAAAGAGAACTCTAAGGCAGAGAAAGCTGAACATCTTAGCTGAGAGCAGGTTAGACGGAGGCAGAACCCTCTGCATGTGACCGCCTTCCTCCTATCTCCATAGCGACTCTAAAAGACTTGAGCAGAAAGTGTGCAATGGAACCCCGATCCTTTCTAGAAAGGTTCCTAACTGGGCTAATGAGGCAATTCTCACAACCCTCCGAAGCACGTGCTACTTTTTTTTTCTTTCTTTATACCCTTATTACCTTTTTTTTATTTTAAAGATATGTGGTACAATTCAGGACTAAGTATACAAATGATCATTGTACAGGTATAGTTTGGAAGCACGTACTATTTTTTAAAACCATTTTTTATGTAAGAATGAAAAGCAGCTTCATGATGTAAAGACAGAAAAATATTCAAGAACTCACAGCTGGGAAGATATGCAACTGGGATTTTAACGCAGTTCTTCCAGGTGGATACGAATATTTGATGTTTTAAACTTAGGTGAGCATGGATTTTCTGGCTTTCGATATGAAGAAGCTCAGATTGGTGTCAAAGATTTCTCTCTGAATTTGCACAACCGATGAATGCAGAAGACCCAAGGCGGCTGTCACTATTATACTTCTCCCTGAGAGCTGTCAGTCTGTGCAGCATTGTGTGCCTATGAAACTCTTCAAAGTGGAACTAAACGTAAAATGTTAAAAAGTTGACATCAAGCCGGGCTCAGTGGCTCAGCCTGTAATCCCACGCCTTTGGGAGGCTGAGGTGAGTGGATTGCCTGAGCCCATGGGTTCAAGACCCACCTGGGCAGCGAGACCTCATCTCTACAATAAATCAAAAAATCAACCGGGCGTGGTAGTGCATACCTGTAATTCCGTAATTCCGGCTACTTGGAAGGCTGAGGCGGAAGGATCGCCGGAGCCCAGCAGGTCGAGACTGCGGTGGCCGGGAGCAGCCACTGCACTCCAGTCTGGGTGACAGAGTGAGACTCCAACTCAAAAATAAAAATTTTAAAAAAGTTGACATCACATGATCCCCAAATTGTTTTGGCAACTCAGGTAACACTATGATAGCTGGAACTTTATGACTTCTATTTACATCAACAAAAAGTACCAGTTTTTGTATACTGTTCTTGAACTAGTTAAGCGTAATATATATTTCTGCCAGCATTAAAGTCTTAAAGCTATGCCTCTAACCCAACATTCAATAACAAATTTTAATAAGACTATGTCGTATGCTTTATAGGTTAATGCTGAAAGATATTTAGAAATATGTTTCTTTTCAAGGCTGCAAAAATAGAGAAAATAATAAAACTCAGGGTGTGTGGCTGTGTTTGTGCATCTTGAGTGGTGAAGGAGAAACTTGTTCCTGATATTTCCGAGGTATATTTTTGCAAATAAACTTTTAAAATAAATATATACATCTATTGGAATATTGTGTTTCCTGATTTTTTTTTTGAGTTGGAGTCTCACTCTGTCGCCTAGACTAGAGTGCAGTGGCTGCTCCTGGCCACCACAGCCTCGACCTGCTGGGCTCGGGCGATCCTTTCGCCTCAGCCTTCCGAGTAGCCGGAATTACAGGCATGCGCTACCACACCCGGGTCTCGAACTCGCGGGCTCAGGCAATCCACTCACCTCAGCCTCCCAAAGGTGTGGGATTACAGGCTGAGCCAGCGAGCCCGGCTGTGGTTTTATTTTTAATGTCAGAGAACCCACTGCCACGCATGCCACTCTTCCAACTAGACTTCATAACAATTCACTCTTCTGACATTCTCAGATGCCCCCAACAGAATGTGTGTTTCTAGTATTAATATGTAGGCTTAGAAATAGTCTAGGCAGCAAAAAAAAAAAAAAAGAAATAGTCTAGGCAAATAATGGACTGACTTACGAAATCTTGGGAAAGCTTTTATTTTATGAAATATCCTCTAATATCAGAAAAATAGTCCTAAATCCAGTTTTATTAAAAATCTGTAATATTTGTTACTTAAATTATTTTCTGATCAACAACAATATTTAAGGCTGAATTATTTAGCAATGGTATTATACAATTAATAATACAACACATAACACAGATACATATACAAGATGCAAATACAGAATACAAGTCTGGTTACAAATAATAGCAACCAACTTGTTATTAGAACTTTATTATGGGTATCAATGAATTTATGAGAATATTCTTGTTCTTTTTCTCCCCTGCTTTTAACATTGTAAAAGAAAAACATGCTATATCAAATGCTTGTTTTTCAGAGCATATTCTGTGTTCGTAAAATTAAGCATTGATCATTTCCAATTTGGAAATGATAGAATTTTTCTAATTAAAGAACTCAAGTTAATCTTTTTTATTTGAAATTTTTCACAGTTTTCAAACTTCCACTCTATATTATAGTGAATAAGAAAGCATTTTTATGGCACTATCTTAATGTTGTAGCTACCTTAATCTTAAAAGTAATGTAGACCTGAATAAAAATCACAAACCAAAGATCTGGAATCTGTCCTTAAAATCTGGCTTCATCCTGCATGAATGCAGTTTCTAAATTCCATGCACATAACTTCCTTCCCATGCCAACCGGAGTTACATGAGGAGTTTTGCTTTAGCTCAGGGAACACTACAAATGCATGAGCTGTTCAATTGCCTGTCTTTCAAAGGACTGAGCAGCATAGAGCTGTCTAAATCATAAGTCAGAATAGGAAGAGTCAACATGTTAAATGATCTTGACAGACTTAATGACTGAGTAACACAGGGCAACGTGCAGGGGGTGTCTGTGCACGTACTGGTGGGTATGCAGCAGAATGTCTCATCTGAATACATTCTCTGTGGCTTCGATTTTTTTCCCCCATTCACTGAGCCATTTCACCTTTTAATAACAGTTTCAAACTCAGGTGGTCTTCAAACTTTTGACATGTCATTGAAAATGGAACGTCCAACTGTGAAGAAAGTTGATTGGAATGCAATTAGAATTGATCAAACTTATTTCTCCCCCCCAGGTCAAGCTGATGCCTCCAGCTCCTAACGACGACCTGGCCACACTCAGTGAACTCAATGATGGCAGCCTGCTCTATGAGATTCAGAAGCGCTTTGGAAACAATCAGATATACGTGAGTGCCCTTGAAATTGCCTTCTGCGCTCTTTAGTCTTGCTGACTATTTTCCTCACCCTTCAATGCTTCGAATAATGCAAGGAAAGGGCTCATTTGGGCTTCTGGTCATGGTGATCGTTTAAGGCGAATTTTTCATAGTTGAGGTTCTTCCTGGCTCAGCTACATGGCAACTTCAACAAAGTTCCAGATTTGGGAGTTAAGTAGAAGCAAGTACTACCGATAAACTTTTCTGTTGTTGTGATTGCTATGGAAGATCTTGCTAGAACTAGCATAATCTGCACACCACTTTTAAAAATGCTGTCTGTCTCATCTACTTTTCTTGAGTCTGCTGGATGGGGGAAAAGAAGCCAAAGACGCATTGACTATGCATGTGGGACGGCCTCTCTTCTCCATTTGCTTGAAAAGAGAAACTGTTGTTCCTTAAAATGATCAGGAAATGTCTTTGTCTGTAAAGTAATTTATACACAGATTACTGATAAGACGATACCAATATATTACGCAGGTGACAAATGGCATCAGAATTGATTTCCTGTAACTTCTTCCAACCTGGATAACAATTCAGAGACCCTGTAATCTTAAAATCCATCTCTGTGTTTCCTTCTTTCTCTCTCTCTCTCTCTCTCTCTCTCATGCACGCGCTTTGATTTTGTTATGTTCCACACAGAGCACAGAGTAATTCAGTCAGAATGTCTATAGAGAAATCTGATTATACATATACCTGCTATCTCTTTTGGATAACGTGTTTTTTCTTCTAGTCTACTGAGAAATTGTTTAAGTGATTTTCATGTAAATGTGGAGTCTGAGATTTCCTTACAAGTAATAAATCATCAGATACTGATTAGCCTATAAAAATGCAATGCAGCATCTTAATGCTTGAATAAATTGCCTGCCACTGTAAATACACTTACAATTAAATACTTCTATCAAAATTAATGAAATGAGTCATTGGCAAAAAACAGCGAGACCTGATTACTCTGGTCTCTGTTACAACCGTTACTTTTGTAAAGTGTCAGTTATTTTTTTTATGTTCCCAGTATTGTGTCGATTCTTTATTTAACTCTGAATTATTTTTATTTTATTTAATTTCTATTATTTTACTCTTAATTATTTTTACTCTAGATGACCTTAATTTATTCTTAATTACTCTTAATCAATGGAAGACTGTTGATTGAATTATTTTGTATTTTTTTATTCCCTTTGTGCTTTTCAATTGTCATTATCCCCTAAATACCTGTTAAATCTGCTTTTCTCCATCTCTGGTCACCATCTCCCTTCCGTCTATGCTCATCTCAACAGCCAGATGATGCTATTGGAATGTACATTGCATCGTGACATTTCACTACTTAAAGGGCTCCAGTTCATTCAGGAAAGCCAGAGTCTGAAGAAAGACCCATGAGGCCTGAGTGCTTTTCTCCTGCCCTTTGCATTTCTGACCTCACATGCTATAGTCCTCCGATGGGGTACCTCTGCTCTGATCACACCACTGGCCTTGGTGTCCCATGAGTGTGCTCAGGTCTTTGCCTGAGTCGTTTGACTGCCATATGCCCACCTCCTCCTTTTTTCAGGTCTTCACGCCAGTGTCCATGCATGGAGGCCAGCCATGCACTGCCTATCCTTCTGCCTTGCAGTGTTTTTCTCCATTAACTTACCACCTTCTAACACACTGTATTTTTTGTATTTAGATTATTGTAAGCAGTGTGTGCTAACTGATTTTCCCCACTCTCTCTCTTTCTCTCTCTAACTCACACACATTCTCTTTTTTAAAAATATAATCAATATGTTTTATTATGATATTGTGGGATACAGTTAAGGGTTAGGTATACAAATACGTTTCGTTCAGGCACCCTTGTTGATAAGAGATGCTTCCCCGTCCCCGGACAGATATTTGCTACTGTTAATCCCATCTCCCACCCCCCCATAGTTTCCCACTACTGTCAGTCATTTTCTTATAGTATTACATTGGATGTTCAAGGTCCATTATAGGAGTGAGAACATGTGACACTCGGTTCTTTGTTTCTGTGAGAGGTCACTCAGTATTGTAGACTCTAGTTCCATCCAGGTTGCTGTGAAATTCATGATTTTGTTCTTTTTTATGGCTGCGTAGTATTCCATCGTGTATATGTACCACATTTTTTTAATCCAGTCCTCTTTTGATGGGCACCATGGTTGCTTCCAGATTCTTGCTATTGTGAACAATGCTGCAATAAACATACGTGTGCAGGTATCTTTTTTATAGAGTGATTTGAGTTCTTCAGGATATATTCCCAGTAGGGGGATTGCAGGGTCATATGGGAGGTTGATATTTAGAGCTTTTAGGAATTGCCACACTGCTTTCCACAGAGGTTGCACTAGTTTACACTCTCACCAACAGTGTAGAAGTGTTCCCTTTTCACCACACCCTCTCCAGCAGCTGTTATTTTTTGAGTTGTTGATAATTGCCATTCTGACTGGAGTTAGGTGGTATCTCAGTGTGGTTTTGATTTGCTTCTCCCTGATGATTAGTGAGATTGAACATTTCTTCATGTGTCTGTTGGCTGCTCGGATGTCTTCCTTTGTGAAGTGTCTGTTCATATCTTTTGCCCATTTTATAATGAGGTTGTTTGTTTTTTTCTTTTCAGCATGTTTGAGTTCCAATACTTTTTCCCAGTCTGTGGGCTGTCTCCCTGCTCTCTTGATGGTTTCTTTGGCTTTGCAGAAGCTTGTCAGTTTAATAAGGTCCCACTTGTCTATCTTCTCTCTTATGACCTGTGGGTTTCGGGTTTTGTTCAGGAATTGGATGCCACTTCCGATTTCCATGAGGGTATGTCCTTCATTTTCTAAGTTTCTTATGGTTTGAGGTTTTACATTTAGGTCTCTGATCCATTTGGAGTTAACCTTCACACACATTCTCATGCCTATACTCACTAGACTGCAAACTCCATGAGGTCACGAATTTTTGTTTTGTTCAATGCTTTATGGTATTATGTATTATATATAATATTACGTATTATGTACCTAGAATTATATATTACATATATAACAAGTGTGTGTGTGTGTCTGTGTGTGTGTGTGTGTGTGTGTATGACACATGCTTGGTGCCCAATAATTATCGGATACATGGGCAGACCTCTTAAACCAATCCTACATTTTTAGCTCATCATTTTAAAAATTACTATTTATTTATCCATGGCAAACAACTTAGGGTTGAACAATGGCTTTTTAACAGAGCCAGGGTAGACTATTTCAACTGAATTAATTTTTCTGACCAGGATTTTCATTTATTTCTGCTGTGGTCTGATTTGTTTTATAACACGATACTTCAAACTAGACTGTAAACTGCTCTTTTTCTAAGTGCATAACATTCCATTTGGATGTTAGATTGAGTGGTTTCCACAGTCTGTAGCACTAAGAAGTTCCCAAAGTTTCAAACAGAAAACGGACTGCAGGCGATGAGACATGTGTTTGTCAGGAAATGCCGAGCATACAGCTCTGAATTCTCTGAATAATTGTTGCCGATGGTACCAGAGGGAGCAGAATGTGTAGCCAGATTTCTTTATGAAAAGCAAAGAAGTTTGCCAGCTGTATTCACTTTACAACACATTAGTGAGACTTGAGTCTCATCAAGGAAAAAAAATACACAAACGCAGGAGCTTCTGGAACATCTGGTTCGCCAAGATAATTCTAAACACACAAACAGTAACTGGCATTAAGCAAACCAGAGCAATGAAACATTTCATGACAGCGCCCAGCCTGCAGCCTGGCTCATCTCAGCCACCAGACACTGTTCATATGGCACTCACGGTGACCCACTAGAATTCCTTTTAAAAGCATCACAAAAGGCTAAAGTCGACAAGCTGGTGTTAGAGACAGGTTTCTCCCACTTCAAGGATATTTGAGATTGTTTAGATGGATACATTTTTCCTAAGCTTTTTCTCCATATATTGAGATGATCACATGCCTTTTGAAATATGGTTAAGTAGGCCAGGCACAGTGGCTCAAGTCTGTCATCCCAGCTCTTTGGGAAGCAGAGGCAAGGGGATTGCCTGAGCCCACGGGTTCGAGAACAGCCTGGGCAACTTGGCGAGACCTCATCTCTACAATAAGCCAAAAAATTAGCCGGGCATGGTAGCAAGCGCCTGTAGTTCTGCATACTTGGAAGGTTGAGGAGGAAGGATTACCTGAGTCCAGCAAGTCGATGCTGGGTTGGCCGTGAGTGTGCCACTGCACTCCAGCCTGGGCGACAGAATGAGATGCCAACTCAAAAAAAAAAAAGTTTAAGTATTATTAATTACAGGTGTTGATATTCAGATATGAAACCAATCTTTTATTTCTCTTTTTTTTTTTTTTTTTG